GGGAAGGCGGCCGCCCGCGGCTGCTGCGCAGGGGTCGCCACTGGGCCTCAGCCAGCGGCCCCCGGAGCGAGCTGGAGCCTCTCGGACATTAAAAAGCCCCGATCGGCCTTCTCGGTGGAAGTCGGCCCCCGGCCCCTGGGAAGGGGGGGGCGCTCCGTCCTAAGCACCCCGCAGGATGAAGCGCTGAGGGGCCCAGAAACGAGGACCTGGGATCGCTTGGGCGTCACGGGAAGCGTGGCTCTGGAAGCAGCCTCGGCGGCGAGTCTCTGAGCTGGTTTGAGCCCTGGCACAGGATAAAGGGTGGAAGAGTTTGTGGGAAAAGACGACGACAGCAGGCAACGTCCGTGTCTGGCGGTGCTGGCAGAGGGGCAAGGGACACCTTAATTAACCCAGCTCCAGACTCCATTTGGGGCTTGAGGCCCAAAGTGAATCAGGATGGGCACCAGGAACATTAATCACTCCTGAAAATTAATCTTCGCCCCTGTGCTCCCATTTGTAAAATGGGAGCAGAGAGAGTGACCTTTGCCAAGGGCTTGGGCGAACAATGAACCATCGGATCAATACGCGTACGAGCGTCACATGTCAATGGCCGCACAGAGATGCCCTCCTCTCTCCCAGTAGAGAGGAGACGCCTGGGCAGGGTGGCTCTCCCCTGTTAAGGACATTAAACCGCCGCCTCCTGAAAGGCTTTTTCCTGAGAAGGTACGTCACATCCCTTCCCTCTGCACTGAAGGCGCTTTCCATTCCCATGCACCAAAGCCCTGATGCGGGCTCAGGTGACTCCAGCCCTACACGCTGGGACTTCAGAGCCAGCAGGCAGAGGAGGCAGCGTCGGCTTCTGGGGGGACCAAGCAGGGCTGCTGCAACACCCCTCGCCAGCGAGTTTGCAGGCCCGGCACACTGCCCGGCGCGAACCCCTGCTTGCACTGCCCACCTTGTGCCAGCGTGATGATGGCCCCGCAGGCTGCAGTGAATCAAGCCCCTGGTGCCGCAGGGTGGCAGGGCGAAGGCCCTGCCCACACCCACCGAGGTGCCCGCCCTGTGATCGTTCCAATGTGGCGCGCACTGGACCCCTCTCCTGTTGCTCCCGATTCCTCCAGCCCCTGGAGCTGCCGCTGGGGTGGGATCATGCCAGGCTGGAAAGGTCGGTCTCCTCCTCCAGGCTTGCAGCGGGCGGGATGACAACACCCAACCCAGCAGGAACCGCTCCTGCCCTTCAGCAGCCGAGGGCCAAACCATCGTCAGCGGCTGGATCAGTGCCTGGCCATTGCAAGGGCCCAGGCATCACGCCAGGGGACTGGGGAGCTGCGAGCCCTCGTTTCGCTGAATCACGGAACGAAGAGCTACAAGAGTGACATGCCGTGCTGCTGGCAGGCTCGGGGTTGCGCTGTCCTTGCCAGAACTGACAAGTTTGGGATTGAACGTGTGCATTTTTGGCTGTGGAGCGATGCGTAATTGGTTCCTTTCACTAAACCCAGTATCTCTTTTCAGGTATACAGCCCTAGAAAGAGGCTGGACTTTTTGCAGGAGAGATGGGTTTTGTGGATCATGGAGCATATTTCATTAGGAGAATAATGGTCTCTCTCTTTTTTTTTTTTTTTTTCCTGAGGAATCCTTTGCAAACACTGCATACGTTTGTAATGAATGTAACCCTTTCAGATGATTCAGTGACATGCTGTAAAATATCATACTTGGTTAAGCATTTTCTGTACATTTTTTTCTGACCTAGACTCATATTCATGTCAACTCTCCATGATGCAGTGCCATAATATTCAAATTTTTGGTAGCCAATTGCTTTTGATATTTATATCCATTTTTAAGGGAATCACAATGAATAAATGTGCCCAGCTCTAACTTTATGCAAAATAAGCTGTGTGTAAATCAGTAAATCATTAATAGAAATAAATCACTTTGAAAGGCTGAGGACTGAATCGCATTTCAAACTTTTATCTGTTTATGCATTTCAGAAGCCACCGAAGGAGAAAACGCGTTGTGTACGGTGACTTAGGTCCCCGTCGCAGACTGTTTACACAGTAGTAGTATGGGTTTACGCTTCGTCAGATGATCTTTTCAAACCAAGGCGTTGTGCGGAGACCATGCTCTGGGCCTGTTTTGCTTAAGAGAAGTTGGATTTAAAGACTGGTAAGAGCAGTAACAGAGGGAGATGAGAAATTCCCATTTAACACCTTCCTCAGCAACTCCAGCTCCAGAAGTGAGAGCCAGGTGGCAAAGCATCTCTTTTGCAAAACAACGCGAAGGAGGTAAAAGCGAAGGAGAGTGCTGACCCTAAGTAAAGCGGACAGGAAGGGTTAAGGTATGTCCATATAAGCGCTAACTTCAGGAGCTGGATGTGTGTATTTGTGTTCCTGGTGTGCTACCGGGGAGGCGTGCTGCTTGAAAGACCCTGCCAATCGCTCAGTGTGTTGAAAGTGTCTTTGCCTTTTTAAAATTGTTTTTCATTATATGCATTATTATTTTTACACAGCTTTTCCAGAACCGTATCATCCAGCAAATCCCTGTCAGAGGGCACCCAGCTTTCCTAGCAAAAGCTAGTTCCTTCATTATGCCTTACCAGGAGTACTGGCATGCAGTTCATTCCCTCTTCAAGGAATAAACAACCCCATGGGCAATGTTTGATATGATTCATTCTCTGTGTGACTGTGACAGCATCAAAACCTGCCTAATGCAGCTGGATCCGAGGCTGGTGGGAGGACCGAAATAGCGAGGCAAGCTCGGCATGTAGGAAAAGCGGAGCCTGAGCCGCCATGCGCAGCAAGGGGGGATGCTGGCCGTGCAGCGCAGGCTGTGCTCCCCCGACCGGGTCCAGGTAACAGGGACACTCAGGCTTGCTGTTGGCTTGGGGATGCTCTGCGACAAGGGGCCGTGTCACGTCAGGACATCACGGCTGGAAGCCGGGCTTGAAGGGGCTGGAGGAATCCTCCCCGTCAGGTTTCTGCTGGACATACAGGCATGCCAGTTCCCCCTTCACTCCCCTCCCAGTTTAGGTTCAGCTCCTGCGTACAATGCCAAAAGGAGCCTGACATTGCAGGCTGGATACATCAGGTGTATCCATGCACTGGAGCAGGAGGGGCTCAGAGGGGAGGAATCCCTCCAGCCTCCAGTTTCATCGGGGTTGAACAGCACCAGCTTACTCTTCCGCGCTGGTGCAGCCTGGGAGGCCGCTCTGGAGTTACGCTGCAGAAGGACTTCCCTGCTAACACGCTGTGAAGCGAGCGTGCAGTGTCATGGCCTCGCTTACCGGACAGATCCCGCCTGACCCAGTGAATTCAGATGTGTTGCAGGGGCTTTAACCTGGCGGGGGGTCAGGACTGCTTTCTCTTCTGAGGGAAAACGACAAAGACGCTGCTGCTTCTACCTCCCGGTCAACAAGACTCCTACACAGAAGACAAAAAAATCGGTTTGGGAAAAGAAGATGAGCTGGATTCTGTGAGCTTTGAGTCCAGGAGATACGGCAAGCAACAAACAACAAGGTTATGGGAGAGGCTCTCACCCTGCAACTGCATGCCCTGGAAGCCACCCATTTGGGAAAACGTGGTCATGGTCGCCCCGACACACCTCAATCGAGAGCGAGCGTTCTTTTCGGTTGCAGTCTCTCTTCAAACAGGGTTAGGCTCGCTTCTTCAGGAGTCACCCAGTTCCGAGCACACCGTTGGGAGGGGAAGCTGCTATCCCCTCTGCAGCACTTGCACCGCGAGCTACGCCAACACCGGGGGTCACTGGGGGGGGGGGGGGGGGGAGGGTCGCGGCGGG